AACAACATAGCTTAAAAAAAAGTAAACCAAAATTCTGCATTGTTATAAAACTTGATAAAAAATAGTATTTCAAACTGTACAGTCACCAGAAGTACACAGTTATCAAAAATTCACACGTTTTTACTTGGCTTCACCAGCACCTTCGGCTTTCTGTGCCTACAAGAAAAAGGGGAACCAGTCAATACACAAACAACTGATAACTCATTTTTCAGTTAAAAAACAGCAATTCTCTGAACAGAAGGAACCTTATCTGGGTTGCACCTCTCTATTTTTAACAAAACTAAATCTAACATTCAAGGTACTGTAAGACAGCTTTATTATTTGCAAATTTTCCACACTTTCAGAACTTTCCCATGGCAATTCAATTGACAGACAACTTTTAACTCTTTACCAAGGGAGCAACGCCCCCCAGCACGGCTGTTGATGTGTTGCTAGTGTCATAAGCAACAGGTCTAAATAATCAGGCAATAATTCCTCTTAATTAGCGCAAGTCTAGACCTGTCTTATGTTTGATATGGAAAAAAATAATTTGCTGACGTGACAGAAGCTGCCAGAGCCGCTGTTATACCTGGTCTGTTTTGGCATCTCCGTTTTCTGCAGGGTTGTTTCCCTCCTTGCCAGCATCAGCTTTTCCCTTCTTTCCCTTGGGCAACTTCTCGCTCTTCTGTGAAGGTAAGATGACGTACACCGTTACCAGCATCAGTCACTAAGCCACAAGAACCCAAAAACCAGAACGCTAAAAACCGACATCAGACGCTGGCCTAAAAATCACGTGACGCACAATGAACGTTTGCATCTTTAAGAGATCTGACAACAACTGTGACGAGTCTTCACTTTGGTATTTTTTATGCGAGTTTTGTAAAATTCACAAGCTTTCAGTGCAAGTTCATAGAAGTGATGATGCAGCTCAACTTCACCGCTACGTAACACTGTTGCTCAAAGTTTTCTTAGTTATTAGTGGACAAATCTAAACCTCATAACCCACTCACCCTTCAGTAAGAGCACTGATGCAACGACTTACCTTTGGAGCTGCCTTTTTAGGTTTAGGCTCTGGCTTCGGAGGAGCAGGCTTCTGCAAGTGAGAAAAAAAAATCTTGTTACTCAAATTATTTTAAGAGAAACATACTACTTTTTAAAAACATTCAACCCAAATGGTATTGTTTTAGGAAAGCAAATCAAAACATCTGAAATTGAAGCACTTACGTGGTTTCTCAATTATTCTACCACTCTCACAGGGCAGTTCGTTAAGCCAGTAACTTTCAACTGAAGAACACGTCTCTCCAGAATACCCACAGTTCTCACACAGGTGCAGTATCTAATACTCAAACCTAAAACCATTAAGTTTTGTGACATCTCTGCTCAACAGGAGAATACTCACAGCAGATAACCTCGCCGATCTCCGTTGTGGCTGTTTAAAAAGAAAAATGATTGAGTTTAATGTGAGGGAATATGAACTCTCAAACACTCATAAAGTAGCTCTCATTTCAAAGTAGTAAAATCCTGGAACTAATGTTTAAGTTTTTACTTCCCTTTTCTCAAGAAACACGAGACTATCCCGTTTAAATCACTACTAACGGCTCACGACAGTTAAATAAATTTTTCATGGTTGAGGTTAAAAGACAGTTAATACTCCAAAAAGCCAGGATCAAGTAAGACCAACTCCCCAGTTCTTTATTTTGATGAAGTTAAACCTCAGCTTCCAATGTAAACACTTTATGACCCAACTTTCTCAAAACATTGAACTTCTTACCTCATCTTTAACTTTGGCCTTATCGCCCTTGGTATCTCCTTCAGCCTGAGACGTGAAGCACA